GAAGTGAGCCGCTTCTAGCCCATAATATTCCAGACACCTGTCTCTGAAGTTCTCAAAGACATCGGCCAATAGTAGCACTTCCGTTTTGAGATAGAAGTCGTGATACTGACCGAGGTCTGAAATGTTTTTGAGGGGAGCTTTTGTTCCGGAAACCGATCCGCGTGGTCATAGGGATATATACCTTTTCTAAGTAGCAATTTGGCTTCTGATTCGGTAAATGCCCTAGAGAAGTTATTGAATTTCGTCAAACTCTCTTTGGCTAGATTTTCAGTCAGAGTCTCGAGACTTTGAGACATGAATTGAAACGAATCTATGAACCTATATCACCCAGACTAAACGAAATATACTGTTCAGTAGTGTTTGGAATGCAATTGATGTTGCGTTCTTTAAATTTACCGAGACTTTCCGTCAGGATGTGAGCATCGAAACCTTTTAAATTGTGAAAAACACAAGGTATGTGAGTGGGATATTTGTACTTCAAATTAAATTCGTTATGAGCGGCTCCGCTAAATTTTCCACTCAAATGACAGTGGTCTCATACTACAGCACTTTCGTTCCGGAAATCGATCAATTCCAATCCATTCTGTCCACTAATGACGAATTCTACGGCGGAATCGCTCGTAATCTGAGATATTGGTAACACGTCTTGATAGTAAACATTTTCCACGGCTGTCTGTGTCGGTGGAAGGTCAAATACGGCTAATTCTGACGGTTGTGCTTCTCTAAAGAAATCTTTGTTTAACGTAGCCATTGCGATATTAGATTCCGTTTGTTCTTTTTTTCCGATTTTTTTTTTTCACTTTACTTTTCAGTTAACTTGCCTTCCGTTTTGCTTTACCTGTTTTTGGTGAGTCCGTGGAGTGTGTACACGTCGACGTTTCCTGGTAGACTGACGACGATGTGGGGATCGTTTCCTTTTAATCTCGGACTTGGCTTGTTCTACGACTTGTTGAGCTGGAGAGACCATATTTACAATAACCTCCCGCGCAGGTAAGGACTTCTCTCCCTCTTTATCGTTTTTGTCGAAAGGAATCATGAACTCGTTCGAATTCTGTGACGATCCTCCACCGAAATGCTTCACGTTTCGTTTTATGCTTTCTGTATAAGCATTTTCCTTTCCACGTGCCACCTCTTGATATACCACCAGGAATGTACGTCCTTGTCCACTCTCTGTAGTTCAGACTGATAAAAATTCCCCGTGATCGACTCGTTTAAAACGTAAATCAATTGGTACTGCTAGGTATGCCTTGACGTAAAAAAACGTTTCTTGACCTTGACGATTTCTGACGACCACTGCTGTTGATAGGCTCTTGTAAACGGTTGCTTTAAGTGTGAGATTCTCACGAGACTTCATATCTTAAATCTAAATTTTGGTTTCTTTGATACCGTGGTTTTCTTTTTGGGGTGTTTTGTGTGTTTATTTCTGAGGTACATATATGCAAAGAGATCGGCTTCGTTTGTTTTGTTTATGTCTTTGGGAGCTGTGCCGTTTAACGATCTATGGGGTGTGGCGTTGTAACTCTTGATGAAATCTTGCAATTTGTCTGCATATATATAAGTTCTGTATTTTGTGAAATATCTATACATCATGGTCTTTAATGTTCTAATAATTTACAATATTGTCTCATCAGGTTTCCTGTAAATTCTTTGCCAGCGTCTGAAAAAAGACGTGTTTTTTTTTGTGCTATTGATTATCTTTTTAAAAGCATCTAATACACATGTACGTCTTTCGTCGTTTTGGTTTTTGTAGGTTTAACCCATAAGAATCGGCTGAATACGTCTATGACTACCAGAAGGAATCGGATACCACCATTCTGTTTAGAGAGATTCGATACATCGGCAAGATCGGCTTGAAATTCTTCGTAAGGAGCTGAAACCTCTACCCGTGCTTTCTTGAAGGAACGTCAGACTGGTTTTTGTGAACTATAATCGTCTAGACTCTGAATATATCTTCTGATCTTATACTAACCTGCTGAAGTTATTCCACGAGATTTCAATACTTGATGAACTTTCGTTGGACTCAGAAATGCACCTCCATTCTTTAAATCGTAATATACTCAATCTACGAGTCGCTTCTCTTCCTCGGTCAACATATTCAATGAGACAAAATATTCATGTACAGGCTTTTATTACAAAGTATAATAACCAGTCTTCTACACGATTCAAGGACATCACCATTTTTGATATTTTATTTCGCCATGTCTCTGTTTTGAGTTCGTTAACTCTCCATTCAGCATTACACAGTTGTGATATGAAAGCGTTTCTAGAACTTCTCTGGACTTTAAAACGAACAGTCTCTCGAATAAAGTCACGAATCACTCTGATGTCATCTTCATGACCAAATGCGTCTTTCACATCACATTGTCTTTCACTTATGATTTCTCTAACATGATCTGCATATATCAGTTTTGATAAGTTCTCCATACTGACGAGTTCCTGAGAATTCGGAAATGTAGCATTCATTTCCATGTTTTAGTACTATGAATTGGATGGATAAGGTAAAACACAATGTTCATCAATACATTCCACTGAAAAGTTTTTATGTTTCCAATATTTCAGTGTTTTTCCACACCTATAATAGGTAACGTAATCACTCACACCTTCGTGAAAAAATCCACTAATAGCTAGTTGATAAGGAGTCTGGTGAAGTTTACAGTTCCAAAGATAAAATGTTATCAATCGATCTATACAGCTCGTCATGTGTTGATGAACTGGACAGGAGGTAGCAAGGTTCATCTATAAGTAGAATGAAAAGATACGTTGCTAAAAATTCTTTCCTATAGTGTTACTTCATTGTTTGTCTGTAGTAAGTTCAGCATTACATCCAAGTATCTTTCGGGTGTTCTATCGGAGTAGTTTTCACGATAACACACACAGATGGGGAAGATGTACCTACGACGTCTCTCGTATTCTTCAACGATTACGGAAAGCTGATCACCATCAACGTCAATTTCCACATACTGATCACCGCTCATAATGTAGTATACGTCTACTATCTATATTAGCTCACAGTCAAATGAACAGGTATGTCTGAACTTCGCCGATTTTCTTTACGTATTTCTTTATTTTATTACAATAACGTTGTTTGACACATTTTTCATCACGTAAAACTTCCTCCTGCATCAGCCGTTGTAATGTGTCTGAAGGTATACAAGATTGTGTGGTAAACTCTCGCCAAGTCCTTTCCACTTCTAAATGATTAACAGAAGTTAAAGCTTCGTTAAAATGTAAGTCTATAACAACAGCACCGGAATACATCAGACATGCATGCTCATGTTGACTAGCTCGACGATTCTTGCAGCCTGAACATACGAATAGTTCTGCTATGTTTGATTTTACAACGTATGCATAAGAGAAACACAGTAGATTTTTAATAATTCTCCGATAGGCCATTTCTTCGTTCTTTTCTATTAAATAGTTCTGTATTCTTTTATCTAACAAGTCTGTGTTCAATTCCATTATGATATGATAGTTATGTGGTCTTTAAATAACATGACGATTCCAACGTAGTATTTAAATGACAAACATCAACGAACCACAATCTTCGACACCAGTATAAAAAAGCATTACTTGCTAGTTGATATGGAGAATGCTTATGATGTTTTGGCCAATGTACATACGTGTCCACACGTTCACAACATTTAATAAATGATGGATGATATGGACGTATTACGAGTAAAGATTGTTGATTATCAAAACAAGGAGAGGTCCATTTACGTTTCCGTACATCTGCTCAGCTATCACGATTTCAATACAATACTATTATGAAGCGATTCATACGTAAAGTCTAAGTAAAGCGCCCGAAATAATAAGTCGAGCGCTCGAGAAGTAATGTCGAGCGCTCGAGATAATTAATGAAGAAAATAATGTTGTGCATGTCTTAAATGTACCACCTATCCTGCTGAGAAGCAATTGTCTTTCCCGCCACCAGACGCAGGGATTATCTTCGGGTTTTTATCTGAGTGAGCGGAGTGATCTCTGTGATGGGGAACTTCAGTTTTTTCACTTTTCACGTAAAGGTTTCAGAGGGTACGAAATCATTGGTTTATGCTTGCATACGATCTAACATCCTCGATATCCAAGGGTTACGCTCACTTTCGCTCTTTGCACCCCTGGAATATGTCATAGCAAAAGTGAAGGCTCAGTGTGCGCCACCTTGTTAATGAGACAAGAATACTAGTTCGATCCTTTGATGTACATCAAAAGAATCTCGCGTTCACGTAACGGTAAAAGTTGACAGGCTTTGAAGTCGGGCGTGTCTCCTTTGTAATCTTCAAAGGACAGGAATTTGCCTAGCGATTGGTCAGGTTTTTTTACCTGACACCAATCAAAGAGCTATCATCGTGCCTTCAATTTTGCTATGACATACAATCAAAATCGTACAGGATCAGGGTACAGGGTAAAGCATCGACTCAAACAATTCATTGAATCGTTTAAGACATTTTTGTGTATTGTAGCAAACCATTGTGTTTGTCTACATAGGGAAATACCCTCACAATTCGGGTATTATCAACCAATTCTGAAATAAATTCTATTTGTGAGTTCACTTATTCTTTTTGATACACCAGAAATAATGTTATTTACGAAATACGTACAACAGCTCGAACACAGATATATTTGAACTGTAATTACTATTGACATTGTAAAGTTATTACATCTCTGTAAAATATCTTAACACGTGTATTGTGAAACTTACTTTTAAAACAGATATGTGTATCGAGATACACATCGGATTGAATGTATTGTGCTGTGAAAGTACCGGGACCGGGATACGGGGTACAGGGTACGGGGTACGGGGTACAGGGTACGGGTACGGGGTACTAGAATCAGGTACATATAGTTCCCTCGTCGGATTAAGATTGATGCTCTCTGGTTGAATTTCTGGTAGCAGCCGGTGTTACTGATATAATTTATCGACAATTTATTATCTAGGTGGAGTTTAGTGACGCTCAAACACTTAGTCAAGTAATATATTGTAGCCGGTTGAGGAGAGATAAGTGCTGAAAATTCATTTCAGACGGTTTTTATACAACCAGGTCATGTCTCGGTAATACACAGAGCACGAGCATGTGGTAGACTGGTATATAAAATGTATTGCTGATCAGTATGTAATATCACGGAATTATCTCAAGCAATGTGTATACTACAATGACGAACGAAGCTGCATCAACATACTTTTCAGAGTTCTTCCACTACGAGTCGGGATATTTGTATTGTGAGGAGACGAATGTTGGAGACGTCCGAGAATATGTGAAATCGTCTTGTTTCCCATCTAGTCCTTTCTTTTTATATAGCCGAAATCAAATACGACATAATGTGAGAGCTTATCAGCAAGCTCTTAATCAACATGGCTTCAAATCACAGCTTAATTTCTCAGCCAAAGCAAACCCAAACATTGCGATTTTAAAGGAATTGAGGACGCTTAATTGTTCGATAACTCTTGTCAGTGGAATGGAGCTTAAGCTGGCACTCAGTTTAAACTTTGACCCAAGTTTGTTAATGTTCAATGGCAATGGAAAAGTTGACTGGGAGGTTGAACTGGCCGTACAGGAGAGAGTAATGCTGAACATAGACGGGGCGTTCAACCTCGAACAGACGATACGCATATGTAGAAATTTGAACAGTACGGCTAGGGTTCTCCTAAGAATCAACCCTAATATACATGTGGTAAGTGCACATCAGTCGTCTCAAAATACGGTTTTAACGAAACCAACTATTCCCCCCGAAGTTGTTTTATTGCATTATTGCAGCGACATTTAAATATTAACAAAGTCAGATTGTGGTGAGAAAACATGTCACATTAGATACCTGATGCTTATTTATAACATAAAAACACGTTTTACTAGGCTTCTTTAACTTGATTTCATATTGATTTTCATAATATCACTTTCAAAAAGTCTATATTATGTTGAACAAGAGGCCAATGGGCCTTAACGGTCACCTGAGTCCTACAATATTTATTTTTGTTGTTGAAATATGTACCAATTTGAGTAAAAAATAGTATAATGTTAACTTAACTTTGTCAGGACCATGAGCTGATCATTCCTAGACCAATTTTAAGTGAGATCGGCCTATTAGAACTTAGTAGCAAAATAGCGGCCATGGCAGCCAAATTGTATTTCTGATTGACCCGAAAAATAACAACACTTTGTCAGGACCATGAGGCGATCATTCCTACCAACTTTCAGTTCAATCGGCCCAGCAGAACTTGACTTTAAGTTTGAAATGTAAAATGTTAACGGACGACGGACGACGGACGACGACGGACGAAAACGGATAGCAATAGGTCACATTAGCTAAAGCTCAGGTGACCTAAAAATTCTTCAGAATGAGTTAGAGAAATTCTTCAGAATGAGTTAGAGAAATTCTTCAGAATGAGTTAGCTCAAATGTCACATGTGTCTAGATAGGACATTTCTATAGTGTTTTGTTCTAGGATGCACATCAGTACTTAAGGACGGGTGAGCTGGGGTCAAAGTTCGGTACTCACATAGAGGAAATGGATGACATGCTGGAGATACTTCGACATGCCTCCGAGGTCACATTGGTAGGATTGCACTGTCACCTGGGGTCAACTATAGAGAGAGTAGACATGTACAGGTAACCAGTGTTTTGTCTGTCATATGCATGATTATCTCTCATAAGTACACGTGTACATTGTAAACGAATGTATACGATCCCCTGCCTTTAACTGTAAATATGAATTGTAAACTTTTTCCTGTAAGAAAATAACATGAAACTATATTTTTGGAAAAAGAACACATACATTTCAGAGCGTGTTATGAAAAGTTGAAGGGAAAAAATACTTGAATTGCTCTGACAGTAAAAAGGCAACGTGGCCAGATGAGAATTCAGACCACGGACTTAAAATGACAATATGGTCCCCTGAGCTACATGAACAGTGATAGTTCCCTGTCTCAATGGTATATCCAAAACTAAATCAAAGGGTGTGGGATTACTATCTGTTTGAATAACTACAGTGGAATTATTTAGTGCTTTGTCCGAAGTGGGGCACGAACGTATCGTATTTTATTAACAAATATTAAATCTGCGATAAATGTGTAAAACCTGATATATAATAATTGAAGTGAAATGGTATACAGGCATTGTCGCCGCACTTATATATAATTGAATTAGAGATTATTATATGACCATTTTGATATCACACCCCATATCAGCCCGAGAGTCCTGATTGGGGGTGTGATATCAAAATGGTCATAATTATCATAAACTTTTTATCATATGTTTTTTTCCCTTTAAAACAAACAAACCATACACAAAAAATATTTCTTTATTTTATTTATATTCATAAAAATGGTATCAAAAACAATGATTTATATAAACAAAACAGTAACAATTATACGTAAAAAGTCAACATTTAGATATTCCCAAATTCCTACAAAATGATGTTGTTATTGAAATTTGGGTGGGGCTTTGTAAATCAATCTTTAAATTATTTTCCATGAAACCGCAGTTATTCCATGCCAACAATTCGTTTGTTTACATTAAAANAAATTTTAGACTTACACATACAAAAATAGTGTTATTATTAGAAAACATATGTTAACGTCTTTTATCATATACTCGCTTAAAATATCGACCAAATTGCATATGTGATAATGTATCATTCCACTTGAATTGTCGATATTGCCCGCACGTGTAATAATATATAGATATCAGGCCGTATCCGGTGATATCAGCCCGCTTCCGGATATATGGGCCCGCATCCGGGTCATCAACATAGCCCGGTCCGGTGACCTCTTCAAATTTTAGATGTTTGTTGTTGTTGTCGTCTGCACCTCTCGTCTACAATGGAGTCTCATGGAGAACCAGTACTCGAGTCGTTAGCCAAACGAATACTTGAATAAGATGAACTTTTCGACAAAGAAAATGACCAAAGGTTGGAAGAGGCAAGGTTGGGCCTGATATAGGAAGCTCGGGCCAATCTGGGGTCTGATATGAAAATCATTGATGCGCCGCCGCACAGACAGTTTTTAACGCTTTATATCATGGATGTGCCGCCGCAAAGACCTTGTATAACGTCTGATGTCATCGATTCGCCACCGCAGAGACCGTGTATATATTAGTTACACGGATTTTTGGCAGGGTATACGGGATGGTATGACCATAAAGGGTTTCGTATTTCCTGAGGCCGATAGGCCGAATGAAATACGAAATCCTGTAGGGTCATACCATCCCGTATACCCTGCCAAAAATCCGTGTAACGAATTTATTACCCCTTCAATGCATGTCTAAAGTTTTCCAAAGAGCTGGTTTTGTACAGTTCCCCGTCAACTTTTCTGTTGTCAAGATAAAAATGGCACAGTACCTCATTTTGTTTCGTTTTATCAAAATTCCTCGAACTGTTCAAGCTGATTCTTTTCTTTTAAATACGTTCTCGGCATGTTTGCTGCTCGTCTGTTCGACTTTTGCGTGTTTTGTGGCACATAGTTAGCCCTTTTGGCGAGTATTTCCTCATCAGTATGCGAAGCGAAACGTTTTGCCATTTTGTAAACGTGTATAACGTCTGATGTCATGAATGTGCCGCCGCAAAGACCATGTATAACGTCTGATGTCATCGATTCGCCGCCGCACAGACCGTGTATAACGTCTGATTTCATCGATTCGCCGCCGCACAGACCGTGTATAACGTCTTATATCATTGATGAACCGCCACACAGACCATGTATAACGTCTGATATCATTGATGAACCGCCGCACAGACCGTGTATAACGTCTGATATCAATGATGAACCGCCGCACAGACCGTGTATAACGTCTTATATCATTGATGAACCGCCACACAGACCATGTTTAACGTCTGATATCATTGATGAACCGCCGCACAAACCGTCGCACAGACCGTGTATAACGTCTGATATCATTGATGAACCGCCGCACAAACCGTCGCACAGACCGTGTATAACGTCTGATATCATTGATGAACCGACGCACAGACCGTGTAAAACGTCTTATATCATTGATGAACCGCCGCATAGACCGTGTATAACGTCTTATATCATTAATGAACCGCCGCACAGACCGTGTAAAACGTCTTATATCATTAATGAACCGCCGCACAGACCGTGTATAACGTCTTATATCATTGATGAACCGCCGCAAAGACCGCGTATAAAGTCTGATATAATTGATGGACCGCCGGTAAAGACGTTGAATAACGTTTGAAATCATGGATGTGCCTCTGCAAAGACCGTGTATAACATCTGATATCATGGATGGGCCGCCGCAAATACCATGTATAACGTCTTAAATCAATGACGCGCTGCCGCAGAGACCGTGTGTTACGTCTGATGTCATTGAGTATCTTCGACAACCATTTAAAAAGGTTTGAACATTCAATGGAATATCATCACTCCGATCAGATAAGGAGTTAATGATTTTTGATTCATATAAAAAGGACAATAGAGGAAGAAGTGATCACAATCTTCAATAGGGTAACCACACGTAACAACTGTACGACGTCACGTAAATAATGTACCAACGTCACATCAGCCCTGCATTAAGCATGTTACGTTGTAATAACATTATGTTTATGATTCAAGATGGGTGAACAGGGTATACGCAAGGAAAACAAAGAATCATCAACCCCTTGAGGTGAGATTGGGAATCACAACCGTCGGGGAACGATTTTGAATTTGCTCTACACTCGGCAAAGTTTCGTGTTTCGTAATTTAAAAATCGTCCCCTTCGGCTTGTGTCAGTTAAGGTGAATGAAAAAAGTATTCAGAACCTTGATATTTTTTTCAATTATATTGCTGAAGCATATCATAAAACAGCTATTGGCTTTTGTGTTTTATCACATGTACTGTGTTATTAAAGTGAATATACCCATGTCATATTTTTTTGTGTATTAACCCATGTAATATGATCTATCAGCACTGTGATTGGTTGTAAGTTTCAATTGTCTCAATTGTGACGTCACGCCTAGGACAAAAACATGACGTCACATACTTACGCACTGGAGTCAAAATGGCGGCATTTTACTTTTAAAGGTTGCATGAAAATTGTTGTTTTACTCGAGTAATGCCACAAATCTTGATTATGTGATAAAAAGGATCCTACATTCGTTTTTATTTCATATGAAATTTATATGAAACTCGTCACGAATTTTTCGTTTTAGCTCGCCTTAAATGGAAACTCATATAAGATCCTATATTTATTTTATTTTTTATTTTTTTATTTTTATTTTTCAAGATTTTCAGAACAGAACATCACATCAACATACATCCACACATCCACACATATCACTAATTGAAATTATCCTCATCCTCATCCTCATCCTCATCCTCATCATAATATAAAGGATAATAATTTGTGAACCACTTTGAGACGACCTACGAACTAGGTTGTAATAAAGCGGTATATAAGAACCTCCGATTATTATTATTATTATTATTATTATTACAAGCTAACCGGTAATAAGATTTATATATATATTTTGAATGCCGCCGTGACTATTATCCATAATTATGTTTATTGAAGATTTAAAAGAAACTGTGGTTAGGTATACATGTAGCAAACACTAGTGAAAGCAAGTCTTTTTTTTATAAAAGCAATGGATAAAGTCTTGAGTGTAATCAGCCCAACAGAACTCAAAATATAAGTAGTGCATTTTATAAACTGATTCTCTATTCATACAGTAACAGTGATAGAGACCTAACACCCGGGCCTGGAAAGTTGTCCCAAGCAGGCACTTTCTTTGAAGAAGCATTGTATAAAGTCAAGAGTGTAATCAGCCCAAGAGAAATCAAGATATTGTGCATTAGTGCATTAAACAGATTTTCTATTTAGAGTAACCCTTTGACCTTTGACCACTGGACCTTAAAAGTTATCCCAAGCAGGCACGTTCTTCCAGGAAGGACAAGATAAAATCTGAGTGTAATCAGTCCAACAGAATTTGAAATACAGTGCACAAACTGATGTTCTATTTATAGTAAGTGACCTTGACCTCTGATATCAAAGGCTGAAAAGCTATCCAAAAGGTTAAGCAAACATTTTATTACACTGCATAAAGTCCATGTATGCACACACACAAGGTTCTACACTTAAAGTTGATAAGTTGACTTTAATATTCATATGTTTTTTCTGTATGTTATTACTATCTCCATAACATATTGGATGAAGTTGCTAAGTGTTTAAATTGAATCAGTTGATGATTTTCTATGTATAAAGTTTGACCAAAATCCGTGAAAGAATGAAGCTGCTAAGTGTTTACATTGAATAGAGACGGGACAGGATGATTTTCTATATATAGCAAATGTGACCTTGGCCTTGACCTTGGATCCCTGAAATACAAAGATGTCCGAAGTATACCCAAACTTGACCTTTGTATAAAGTTTGACCAAAATCTGTTAATGAATGAAGTTGCTAAGTGTTTACATTGAATAGAGACGGGACACGACGCAACGGGACAGGACGGGATGCCGGGCGCCGCACCAGGGCCAAAGCTCACTTGTCCTTGGCAGGTGAGCTAAAAACAGATAGAAGGACAGACGGAAAATCTGATTACTAAAGATGTGCAGGGGTCCTAACAACAAATTGTGTAATTGAATCGGAGAACCCCCCTTGTGGACCCCACT